TTATTGATTGGGGTGAATGGTTGGGTGTCCACAGATTTCTATGAGGGTCAAGGTCACCATTGGCCACCCCCTGTCTCCGCTATTGCACCTGGTGGTAGACAAAACTGCCTCCTCGGCTCACCAGGAAACATCACTCAGCGCTGCCTCTGACAAGGCCAAAAAAATGCACCGAAGCTTTTACCCACTTGAATGTATTGCACTAAAAACTTTACAATTTACTTGCATTCCCCGTTCATTTCCAGTCCAGAAAAAACACTCATCTSAAAACATCCACTCTTCAAATCCCTCAGCGACAGGGGACGTTAGCGTACCGCGTGTATAGTTTRATTATTAACAATCTCCACTTAAATTAGTCACAACTGAATTGAGCCACAACAAAGGAGTTTTTTAGTATTTTGAGGCCTCTTTGAAAAACATATTTGTGCTTCAGATCTTTAAACAAAAAACAATGTTATTTGTTAAGGTTTTATATCAAATACAGCCTGGGTGACAAAAGTAATAGTTCTCTTGCATCCTCTTAGAAACAATGGTAGTAATTTCTAGTTGGCATTACATCACAGAGCTTTTAAAATTATTTTCTTAAAAAAAGTGATTCGTTTAAGCCTAGAAAAAATTAATGCAATAATAAAGTTTCTTAAAAGGTCACTGAATGAAAATTCACATCAGAAATCAGTCATTTCATGGACATTTAAAACTCACAGTATAGAAAACAAATTTAGGTAAATGTATATACAGCTAAAACACTATGTTTTGATTTCACTGTCACTTAGTATGTTAATTTTGTCTTCTTTTCAACGTTGTCTTTATTCTTATAATCACGGAAATAAACCAGAACGGTTTCTAAATTTAAAACACCCATACAGTGTGAAAATAAGCATTTGAACACCCTACGACTTCGCAAGCTCTCCCACTTAGAAATCTTGAAAGCATGTGATTTCCAGATTTTTTTTAGATTATGYCTCTCACAGTGGACATGCACCTAAGATGAAAATTTCAGACCCCTCMATCATTGCTAAGTGGAAGAACTTGCAAAGTCGCAGGGTGTTCAAATACTTATTTTTCTCACTGTATATTTTCCTTTGAGTCTTTTAATATGAGGCAAACTTCACTTAAAAGCATGCATCTCTTTTTATCATTTTCTTATAATTCAGTTGTGCTCAAAACAAAGTCAGTCAAAGGACAAATTTAAAGTGGATTTCTTTCCAAAACGCTTACAGAACCAGGTTTCTTGATGGATACACATTATTACACAGTGCCATTGAGAAATAAAAATCAGGTTTAAGCTTCCGAGAATCAGGAGGAATATTTTTATCTCCCAGCTCAGAGGTTTTATGTTCCACTGCAGTAGAGTCATGACATTTGATTATCTCGTCAACATAAATTCAGGAAATCTCTATGAAATGGGCTTGTTTTCTATGTTGCGGTAAAATCTGCGTCATTACCAAAGCAGGAAATAACATTTGATCAAAACCAGACTGGAAGTAGAACTGACTAATATGCAGGACAGACAGGAAATACAAATATTGCTTGAACTATATCAGTTTTGAACAGCTTTGAACAGCTACATTAAAAAACATCTAGTGTACATGCATTTATGGAAGTAATAATTATCTTTCATATTTAATAAAAAAAGATCAAATGTAGCTTAATCTCCATAGGCAACACTCTTCTGATCCATGATGTGATTCTTCATTTCTTGTCTTCTAGAGCAAACCTTCATGTGTAAAAAGCAACAGAAAAGGGGGGAAAAAGGTGAAATGATGCTCCTATTCAACACAGACTCCACTTCTTGATAGGATAAAGGACAGGATGTAAGCCCCACTTCAAAGTACGGTGTAAGGGGTTGCAAGCTTTACATTCAGTTAATCTGACCTGTGGGCAATGCCTTAGCCACTAGCTCTAATGTTAATCCTTTGACTGCTCTTCTCTGCACAGTTCACAGATTCCTCTTGTCAATGGGATACTGCACCCGTGAGACGTCTGAAGTCTGCTTGTTGTCGTCTCAAAACAAAGCCAAACACAGCTCTGCTCGTCTCTTTAGGATATAATCAGGGTAGAAACTCACCAGAGGGTCTTCTTGTTTAAAGAAAAAATTGACCAAGAGATGTTCAGGTTGACAAGAACTGCAAGTGTTTCACGTTGTCAATGGCGAACAGTTAAAAAAAGCCACCATGGAAATCCAATGAAGAATGTCTGACTGCCCTGACCTCGCTAAYGCTTCTTTTATCCCTGCCACCTTACAGCTTTAACCAGTTTTGGCTCAAAAAAAAAAAAAACATTTAGTCATGGTCACATTGTGAGGCTGAGCCAGTGACACTTTCAAGGAAATGGTCTGGAGCAGCAGTGGGAAATCCTAACCCTTGAGGGTCACTATCTTGTATGTTTTACTTGTTCCCATGCTCCAAGACACCCGATTCACTGACTGATAGACTTGGCTGCAATTAGGTTGTGGAAATACTGTATCAAGTTATTGTTTATATATTAAAATAACC